TGAAAACATAAATTTTAAATACATTTTAAACATTGGTTGTCCATCTGTTGATCACCTGTTTAGGCTAAGGAATACCCTCCTAAGTTAGGTTTGATAGGACACCCTTTTAGTTGAGTGACAGACTTTATAAATCCAGGTGACCGAGTAGCCTTCGACGACCATCGAGTACTAATATATAGTTGAGTCTAGCCCGATCCGAGTGCTTGCGGTCCCCCTCTTTTTGAATTTTTTCATATGTTTTTCTTGGAATTTTTGGACAAAACACTCGTGATCTCTTTTCGGGATTTTCCCGTGTTTTCTACGATTTTAATCGATTTGTTGATTCGTCGATTTGCTAGCATTTCTCTTGTTGTGAGTTTTTTGACGATCTTTCTCGAGATTTCTGGACGATGTTTCTTTGTTTTCGTTTATATAAAGCATTTCAGCCTGCTTCCTCAAGTTTTGTTGCTTGTACCTGTCGCATCAATTACACCTAAGGAACAGCGGATCTCCCAGGTATACAGGTTTGTTTTATGTTTACAGCATGTTATTCTCTTATAATCACTTCCTTGTTGTACCTTTTACTTTTCTTGACACTGCATGTTGTCCTGTTTTCTTTACTGCATACCCTATTGTTTGTCCTGTGCTACATATTCTACTGTTATGCTATACACTATACAACTTCAACATGTTATCTATAAAAATATCTGAAGAACTACAACCATAGAGCCGCTGGATTTGACATTATAGCCTGACATCCTAGAAAACTTAAACTCGTCACGACAAGGAGCTTGAAACTAGCGCGGTGGGCAACACGATCATCTTTAACAGCAGAACATATTTTCCCCAGCTAAACCATTCATTTCCTAAAATTTAAAACAACAATCCATAGGAATTCGAGGTTGTTTGTCTAGCGCAACATAAATCTTCAACTTTTCGTTGAGCATTCGTATAGCTCTGCTGTACAATCTAAACCCTAACTCGTTTTAGGATTCCGAGGTCGTCATCCATCACGACCTAAATCCTCACATCTTTCAGGCTGTTTGTGTGATTGTTTCACACGAATGTAAGTCCTAATTAAATAAAAATTGACAGGATAAAACACTTAAATATTTCTTCTTAATACTGAAGCCAAACCATAAGGTAGACTGGGAAGTCACTGAGGTTCTCCTTCGGATCTGTGGCATCCCCTACTTATTACTCCTTTGAATTCTATAATAAATGTTCCAAGTTTGAATCATTCCCCTTTTGCACATATCTTTGTCCGATTTCGTTGAAAAATCATATCCTTTTGATCTCCTTGAAGACAATATTTCCTGATTTTTATCGAGAGTATTCTTAAGTGACTTCGATCATTTAAGATGTAATTAACTATAGGGGCTTGCCCTTATAGAAAGTTTTTCCGAACCCAGCTTAAAATAAACTCTATTTAATTTTTTATATTAAATAGGGTAATTTGTCGGCAAATAAAACGGTTTCGCAGACCAAACGAATATCATATATTTCTTAGTTTATTTGATTGAGTCCCATCCTCAAGTCTTGTGTTTATCCCTCGGGATAGATACAGGGTTTAAGGTAGAGTGTTCTTTCATTTAAACTGTAAAAAATATGGGGTTTTGATTTTCATATTTTTCTAAACTTAAATCTATATGTAAATTAAAGCGTCCTTTCGAAGCGGGCGACGGAATTTCGATTCTGGTGACCAACAGCTTCCTACGGGCAAATCCACCACATTCCCCCAACCTGTTATCGCCGACACAATGTTAAATAACATTTGATGCAGATATTACTATTTCCATATTTACAGCAAAAGAAGGTTAGCTATTGTTTCAATTGAAGGTCTTTGAAACAACTAATTTTATCTACTAATATAATTTTCATTCCTTGAATCATTTAGTTGTATTAAAACCCTTGGATGGTAAGACGCTCTACATCACAATGTTGTATGCATTTGAGTGCAGATAGTAAAACCAAGAGCAAAGTTGAACATTGCTTTAAATAAAAAATGTTAAAATAGATTCATGGTTAAACTAGAAAGGATAAAGTATGATTACATTAGATATCTATTGAAAATAAGAATGTTTAAAATTAGCATTAAGTGATTCGGACATATTCAATAAAGGGCTAAAAAAAATACCTATTCGATGAGTACGAAAAGAAAACTAGCTTAAAAAATTTTGGAAAGAAAAGGTAGACCTAAGACAAAATGAAAAGTTGTTCAAATTTTGTGAAGAATAAATTTAAAACCTACTATAGCATTTAACAATGACGCATACAAATTCAGCATTCATAAGTCCATCCTCCTACTTGAGTTCATTAATTAATTTTTAAGAAATGGAAGTGGCATTCTTATATTGATTTGTAAAAGGATAAAAAATATTTGAAGCACCTTAAGTTTTATATGAGATTTTTGAAGGATACAAAAACTAATGCTAAGAGTGTATGCAACTGCATTAAGCATATTGAAACGTTAGTATTTTCCGTTTTATTGATTCAAAACAAAGACAATTCTTTTGTGCTCGATCAAATGAATTCTTAAAGCATATTCATCCAAATAATTTGTAGTAAGTAGCTTTACCACTCTCTATCATTTGGAATATACAGAAAAATTTGAGCAGTTTGGACTTCGCATGCTTCCTTTCATATGAGTAACTGAAAAGGACTAATCAGAAGCAGAAGAGCTGACAAAATGGCAGATCAATACCTTCTTGTGCTGAAGCATTTCATTTGAGTGCACTGAGTAGCTTGGGTGATGGGGTATGACCTCAGACATTATCCTATAAATCCATCAACAGTCAGAAAATTCATCATATAAAATAGCAATGTTGAATTCCATTGAGCTGAAAAAAAAGGCTTTTTTTCAACAATCATTAGTTCATATTCCAGGAAAATTAATTGTAGATTAAATATCCATTTCATCCAGAAACTGAAGGTTTACTTTATGAGATTGTATGCAAAGCAGAGAAAAAAATCATACCCTTCAAAAATTTATAAACATCACCAAGTTATCAAACATTTTCAATAGGAAAACGCCAAAAAATTTTCATGGATAAGAATCCAAATAAATTAACATCCCTAAAGATGTATGGGAAGTCCAATAGAAAAACAGCACCAATTAATAGACAATATTGGAAACAATATTCAAAAATAGTCCTGCTAAACAAAAATTAAAGGACTGTTCCGCTACAACTAGGATTTAATAAATCCTGTAAATCCAGATTAAAACATGAAAATTGTTTGCATAACAACTATTAAATACTGACAAATTGTTTAGCCATTTGCTTAAACATTTCCAATTTGTGATAGAAGCAATCCCAAATCATCAATTTAACCAATAAAGGATTAAAACAGGATGTAACGAAACAATAGCATTAAAACCTGTCAACATTCAGTTGGGCATTATTTAAGCTAAATCTAGCGTAGATCCTATCAAAATTAAAATACCAAACATCCTCTTACCTATACTTCACAACTCAATAAGCACTTCGATAAACGAGAGTTACAAACATTCGAATGCAAGCATTTTCTTAAATTTTCACAAATAACGATTCACAAATCAATCGAACTCCGGCAACAATCAACAGCTCCTCTCATGACTAACAAAACTCGCCTATTTCGAATCTAAAAACAGTAATGCTCAAGCAAAACAAAACAAAATTCCAAAATCAATTTACAATCAAACCCTACAAACGTTGAAAGAAGCTTCGAGGACCTGCCTGGAGTAACGGTTTAGAGCCCGGCAAAGACCTTCCGAATCCCCCTCCTCCCTATAAACATCAGCCTGTCCATGAACAATTCACAGTAAGAAAATCAAAACAACGCACATGAATCGAGAAGGAAGAAAAAAAAAAACAAACAAAAGCGATGTACCTCTCCGACGATTTTGTCAGCGATTCTGTAATAGAACGAAAGCGGGAAGCGTTTGTCTACAAATAATGCCATAGCTCCCCTCAGTGCCTCCAACTCTGTTGGTGAAAAGTCTCTGGTTTCATGAATGGGTCCAGAAATCAAAGGGTGTGAAAGAAAGCGATTTTCCACTTGGTCTTTGTAATCGATGCGGAGTGTCACTCCTGATATTTATTGCCTTAAATTTAGGATTCAGTAAATCTGATAAGATTTAGTAAATCCAATACTTTTTTTTATTTTGAAGCAAATGTCAAACCTCGAGATTACCATCTAATCCGTAATAAATCTAAATTTACAGAATTAAGAGCCCCTATTTTTTAAGGAAAAAATAGATAATTACATAGATGGCACTGGAAATTAACTTATTTAGCATATGAGATCTAGCAAAAATAAAACTAACTTGGAGGTAGTTTTGTAAATAGCAATGTTTGGAGAGCCTATTCTTTAAACAAAAATCCACGATAGGGACCGGCATAATCCATGGCGATGAGAGCGATGTTCATCTCATCCGGCGCAAGAAGCGACGTGAACGATCGTTCTTTCAACATGCCTACATGTGAAGTTTGGATGTTCTCAAAAAACAATGAGCATTAATGAAAATATTTCTTTGTTCGGTTTCACTGAATAAGCGAAATTTTAGGGATGTAAAATATGATCAAATTTTCAAACAGATTTTAGATTTTGGGGAAGGAATATAATTGAGTTTAAAATATTATGTACCGATCGCTTGGCGTATATACCCAAAATGTCTGCATGAAACTCAAAGAGAATGAACGACTAAGATGAAAAGGGTCTTTTTTTTTTTTTAGGTAAGCAATCGATCGAGGATTTAAGGATGAGCATGAAGTTGCGTCTCTAAACTCGGGATAGGTTCAAACTTCAGAAATGGTTCTTTGCTTTGTAGAGGCAAGGCCCGCCGAAAGTGAGGTGTCAATTAGCCCGACAACGAGTCTTGTTGGATATCCCGCGTGAGTTGCGACAAAATCTATTTAAGACCTTGCAAGATTCATAAATTCGGCCAAGGTGAAGAACTAACTAGGTAGGCGAGACACGAGCCCTGTAAGACTCGAGCCAAACAAAAAATGATCAACGACTCACTACGAAAAAAGCTGGCCGATCACATTCGACCGACCAACCCCACATCCTGACCGAACAATCAGCTCACAACCAACAGTGCCAAAAGAAACAAGTAAGGTCACCATACGATCAAACACCTCAACCGACCAACGTGTCTCTAGAGGGCACAGATGTCACCTCAGTTGATTGACTTCAATTCATCCAACCGGTCAATTAACGCCAATGTTGAAATTCATATTGTAATACAAATATGATCTAAAATCTATACAATCAATTAAAGCCTTAATTGCAATAAGAATGGTTTTGATAACCATTTTCTCTTTTTTATAATTGTACAAAACATGTATCTATAAGTACGGGGGCAAAAATACGAATAAAGAGACATTTTCCCTCGAATCTTCTTATAAAGATCTCAAGCTTATTTTAATCTCTCTTCTTTCTCTTCTTCACTCAACTCTAACTCTCAAAATGTGATTCAAAAATGACAAACTAGGATCCAACACTTGGGCTGCAAAAAAAATTTGTAGTTTGCGAACATTTTGTATTCAACTTGTTAAGTAGCTCCTATTTGGATCATTTGTTAAACAGTGAGTTGAGCACGAATTAAGGTTTTAGCTCGAATTATAAAGATGCGAATATGAGCAACTCTTTGTTTGATTGTGTTCGGTTCGTTTAAGCTCGAAATAAGAAAACCGTATATATTATTTATATGATGATTTATTATATATATTTAAATCTAAATTTAAATCAGCAAAACTTGTGCTCTCATGTAGTTTTGCATCTTTTATTGATAGAAATAATGAATATTCGAATTCAATACTTTACATCTATTTTTTTATTAAATTTTAATGAGTCAATTTCGAATCGAACACGAACAAAAATATATAAATCGTTCCAAACACAAACACACAGTTCACAAGTAATTTCAAACACGAGTCAATTTTAAAAAGAATTAATTTCGAACGAGTCAAACACGAGCCAAGTCTGAGCTCACTCAGACTTAACTAGTTTACAGCTCTACTGATCACCTGTGTGGGTAGCCAACCTCTTATTTTCTATTTTTTATTTAAAATTTAAAATCTTAAGCATTTTGTAAAATAGAATTAATATTTAAATGTATGATTTCCCGCTGCAATATTCATGATAAGACACCTTAATATATATATAATCAATAATTTTTTTTTATTATTTTTTAGTTGTTTTTTTTTTGGGCAGATAACATAATTTAAATTATTTTTGGCAGTTGACGATTTGTGTATATACATTTTTGAATATTTATTAAGTTAGTATTAATTTTGTTCTTTAGTTCTATTTGATTATTTTTTTAGATAAATATATGTTTTTTTGTATCATGAAAAATTTATTCATATTAGGGCATTTACACAGAGAGTAGGGCTGCCAAAATGACTTGTTGTTCGTGAACAGCTCGTGTTCGGTTTGTTAAGAAGCTCGTGTTCGGCTCGTTCGCTAAGTTAACGAGCCGAACACGAACAACACGAATAAATATTTGTTTGTTCGTGTTCGGCTCGTTTTGACTCAAAATACTACCAATCAATTACATATATATCTTTGATGAATAGTATTTTCAAAAAAATTAATTGACTACAAGGCTACAAAGATTTATAATCAATTAAAAGTATTAATGAAGAAAATAGAATAAAAATTATTAAATTAGATTCAAATTATGTTTTAAATCTTATCACAATTTTTATCATCTTATAGCTATGTGATTAGGGTTGTCAAAATGACTCTTTGTTATTAAACGGCTCGTGTTCGGCTCAGGTCGTAAAGCAAAGGAGCCGAACACGAACACACTTTTTGAGCTAAAAATATAAACGAGCCGAACACGAGCGAGCCTAACGGAGAGCGCACAATTCTTATGCATTTACGTAGCCACACTGAAACTTTTATATTTAACGACTTAAACACAAACACTCATATTCAAATTTTTATTATCACATAAAAAAAAATTATCATCACTGTTTTATAACTAAAAGTCACCATTTTCATATATAAGTTGAAAACATCAAATTATCATGGTGTGAGAATAGAAATTTACGTGTGAGACATGCAAATACATAAAAATTATGTGCTAGGTATGTAAATTTCTCTCTTAACGCATGTCCGTCAGGTGCCCGGTACTGACCATTGTCGAAGCATTTAATGCAATTAGTTATTTTTCTTAATTAAATATCTCAGTTTTCCTAATTTTGCTTCTACGTCTCCCGCTCGGCTTTATCACAAATCACAATCGAAGCCACGTAAGACGATGAGACCCAACACGCCGAGGCGAGGTCAACACACTTGACGTTGAGGTAATCAAAATTTTCAAGGGCTAGGATCTATAAAAGTTTAACAGACGCACCCATTTTTATATTAATATTAATATAAATAATATAAGTTCTTACGCAACGGTTTGTCATCATTTAAGTTGAGTTTTGGGAAAAGCAATTATGTGTTTATCGGAAAACACGGATCATGAAATTCGACCCGCTTTACGCGTTTAGTGTAAACAATTAACTGCATTTTCGGATAAACTACTCAAACTCAGTTTCAAAATGATGAGACGACGTTTTAAAACGTCGCCAAAGGGAATAAGCTGCCTCAAACAAAGCCTTAAGATGTGTTTGTAGCAACGATGCAGTGCCGCGATGCAGTCTTGTTTGTTTATTTTAGAAAGCTGCAAAGCTGTATTTTCTAATCTGATTTAATTAAGTAAGGTGTTGCTAACAAGCTATAATCTGATTTTTTTCAAAAAAAAAAAAATTGTAAAAATCACGGAAGCTTTTTAAACAATAGCTTCATAGAACAGACCTTTAATTTCACTTTCTAACCATAGCCAATTGTTTTCATGAGAAGATATTTAAATGAAAATATGATGCTTAAAGCTCTCATCAATAGCCTAAAAATCATTATCAACTTCACTACCAAAAACAATAACAGAATCATAATTTCAAATGAGAGGAGACAGTTTACCTCAAATTTATTACCAAGTCAATACTATAATCCTACAAATAAGATCAATGCATGCTTTTCGAGGCTTTTTTGTGTGTGTGTGTGTGATAAATTAGTCCTCACAACTGATATTCTACTAACAACATTAGCTGGGAGTGGTGGAGGCTACAGTGCCAGCTTTGGGAGTGGGAGAGAGTAACGACAGCAGTTTTGGGAGTTAAGGCTGGTTATGGCAGCAGATTTGGATGTTGATAGAGAGTTATGGCAGCCACCTTAGGAATAGGGGTGCAGGGAAAGTCAGCAAGAAGCAAGGAGAGGAAGTGGAGGTAAACGTCGGAGAAGATAAATCGCCACCGGAGAGAGGGATACAACCGGAGCACCACCCTAACCATCATATACAACAATAAAAATGGAGAAGAGGACATCGGCGGATGTCCAAACAAAACTTCATATGAAGTCACAATAATCTAATTCAGCAAACACGCCGATTTATAATAGACGTATCATTAGCTTTTAAACTTTCAGACTAATAATAAATTTAATTACTGATTATCTAGCCAAATTTAATATCTATTTAATATCATACTCTTAGGAAATGATACCGGAGTTAACCCAAATCATAATAAAAATACAAATTTTATTGTTGAATTTGATCGTGATATCCTAAAATACTCTCAGTCACGAGTGTTTGGAGTCTGTCTCAATCGTATTCTCCTCTATCATGACCAAAATTGGTCTTATCAATGCTGCTCTGCTAGCAAGGGCGCCTATGATCTCGTGCTCCACCAAAAGAAGAAAGATTATATGTTTCCTATCCCTGGTGAAGGAATATGTGTTTCTGAATCTGTCCTAATGTCCTACGGTCAAATTGTCGTTGTCTTCCCAACAAAAAAGTGGTAGACATCCCTGGGGACCATGCCACACTACACCAGATCATGCGGTTGGCTCTTGATAGAAAACTCCACTAGGTACTTCCTGTCAATGATGACCCATTTTTCTTCTTCAGCCACGTCATAGAATAAGGTTGAGAGTGCCTTTGAGTCATGAGGCCCAACTTATCCATCATTTGCGTAGACGCCACATTTCTACTGCTTCCTTTATCGATAATGAGATTGTATGCATTCTTGTTCACGGTGCACTATTATAGAATACAATGTGACGAAGTCACTATGAATCTATTGTATCTTCGATCTGTAGGACACGTCGAACCATGAGTATCTTGCCCTCATCAGGTGAAAGATGATATACCTCACGCTATTCCTCAATTGTCTCCTCATCGCTAACCTCCTCCACAATGCCCTATTCGGTAAAAGACACAACTCAGCTCGTCAGACAGATAAAGGTGATGTGCACAAATTCATGGTATTTAAAGCATTTTTTGGCATGGACCGTAGTAGGCGTGATACTCTTCTCAAGTTTTCTTCACATTCGGGGTGACTCTACCCTATCCGAACTAGCTTCTCAACTCCCTGGGGCCTGCTCTTACTAGTTTTTCCAACTGTGTGTGGTTGCCTAGCTGATGATGGTTTTCTGCTTTGCTTCTGTTGTCTTTCACTTTCAATGCTAAGGTCTGGACATCCGCAAGTAACCAATAAGCTGCAACTGCACCACATTTCTAATAGTGGGCTTCGGACCTCCCAGATAATGGGCTATGTTGTGTTCCTCTAGCTTGACCAAATCACAATTCATCTGCAACTAGTTAAACTATGTCGTAAACTCCACTGATATGTCTCTCTACTGAAGGTGGTGAAGTCTCAGAAACATTTCCTAGTGGTAGTATGACGGGAGATATTTCCTCTGCTTCACTCTATTCATCTTTTTTCCACTAGAAGATCTTATCATTGTCTTCTCTTTTCCTCTGCCTCTGCAAGTTGTCCCACCACAAGGAGACACTCTTTTTCAAGTTGATAGCTCCACTCTTTCTCAATTTGATAGCTGAAAGCTTCACCCTTTTATCATTTGACACCACTTTGTACTCAAAGATTCTCTCAACTGATTGTACTGATTTGATAAAATCATATGGATTCATAAATCCATAGAACTCTGGTAGATCCACTTTATTTTGAAATCTTTGTGTCCTCCGAATAATCTCTCCACTCTAGGCCTCCTATGATACTAGATTCCAAAACACTGTGGTCTATTTTCTTCATCACTGAAATCCTCCTTATGATACGAGAATTCTCGTCCCGTTCGCCTCTTCAAATTTCCTTGTCACCATCAAGGATAAGTCCCCAAAGGTTTCATCCTCAATGTCCGCAAATCTCCACTGAATTGATGGATCTCGCGTTCCATCTCTTCACGGGTACGCTCATGCATGAATCTCCTTGGTGACATAGCTAGGGTTTAGAGTTGGGAGGTGAAAGAGGGTGCAAAAATTAATTTATGGTTGTTAGTTTTAAATATCAACAAGATGAATTTATGGTTATATCAAAGTATGACTATGGTTTGGAAATAAGAAAAAAAAAATTAGTTGAGGGATAAAACGTATGTTAGGAAACCCTAGGATGGGACTAGGATTGATTTATCTCTGATACTAAATGATACCGTGATTAACTCAACTCATAATATAAATGCAAATTTTATTGCAGAATTCAATAGGGTTACAAACAAAGACACTGGAAGCAGGAAAATAAAGACACAAACACAAACTAGGGGGTAGATTGGAGCGGTGGTGCCGCAATTGGGGGATGTAGAGGTTATGATGGGTTGTAGGAGGAAGACACGACAGGCTGACTGCTGGTGAGAGGGGTTGGATAGGTTGAAGGTAGGCTGCAGGGTAGCAGCAGGGAGGCCTGGGGCTGGAGGTTTGGGAATTCTAGCAGGGACAATGAACTTTGAAGGGGTTTAGAACAGAAATTGTGTAGTGGGGAGAGGTTACGGGAGTGAGAGTGTGGTGGGGCTGCTGGGAGAGCTGGTGGCAATATAGAAAGATTGAAGGAGAGGTTACTGCAGTGGGAAACAGGTTTTGGACGGCAACAGCAAGGGAGGAGGGCAGGGACTTTGTAGAGAAGGGTAGAACGGCTGCAGGAAAGCAATTGGGTGGGCTGAGGGCAGGATGCCGGGAAGGGGAGGGGAAGAGGGGAGAAATTAAGGAAGAAACACACCATCTCAGTCGGGTTGCAGCCAGAGCACATTTTCACCGTCAGATACAGCCCTAGGAGAGAAAAGAGGGGCGTCGGCAACTGTCCAGACATAATTAACAAAAATTGAGCCCAAAGCAAGCAAATAATAAATATATAATGGAAGATAAAATAGGGAGGGAGGCCCCTTCCCTTTGGGCAGCAAACAGAAAAGGAAATGGAGTATGGGTGGCGAACCCAGGTAAAGACAACTTTTCTTAATCCTAAAAAAGATACGAACAATATGCGTGCATTAGCTCATCAATTCATCCATCTAAAATGGTTTAATTTTCTGCAAAATAAAATAACAAACAACGAATTGATTGAATGCTTATCTATAAGATAGCAGCTTTACATGATGAAGAAGATTGATGGGGAGGTCAGGCGGAATTATGCGGGTGAATCAGGTTTTCGTGACACTGGTCTTGCACACAGGGCATGCGTTCTTCTGAAGAAGCCACTTCTTTATGCAGTAAGGGTGATAACTATGGCCACACCCCAGCTTTCCCACTTCAATATTCATTTCAAATTCCTCCTGAACAAAACAAAAAAGACAAGAAAACTTTACATACACCACACAATTCTTATGTATTACATATATGTACCACCCAAAGTTTGATATTTATATTTTTATCATACCTTGGTGTCATAAACCTATGCATGGAAAAGATGTATTTCACATTTCAAAGATAGTAATTGTGATGCTTATATTGTGATGTTAAAGATTTGAGAGGTGTGCATGTAGATATGATTTTTTTAGGAGTTATAAACATAAATAGCTAAAAATTGTGTGGTATATATGTAAATGCCCTAATAAACAATGAAAATTCTGCTGCCCAAAGTGTCGACATTTGGTTTGACAATTTTTAAGAAAAACAACTTTTTTTGGGGGAAGATTTACATACAGAAACTGAAATCTTATGTATTTACTTATCTAACACCTAAACTTCAATTTTGACATAGATGCCACTTTACTATGCATGAATAGATGTATTTATCTTTTTAAAAGTTAAAATAGTGAAATTTTTCACGTGATATCGAAGATTTAGGTGGCATAAATCTAAAAAAGCAAAGTTTAGATGTTTGATATGTAAATACATAGGAATTGGTTGGTATCTAAGTGTTGAATCATTTTGGAATGCGAATAACTGTAAAATTAGTCAACTCATATAATCTGGGAGACAACTTACAAAAAAAAAAGGGAACTATTGACCTCACTTCTGGTTAGCACTTCATTCCCCTAAAATATTTAAAACAAACTTAAAATAAAACATGCAAAATATAAATAAAATAAAATTAACTTCAATCAAACACTAAAGTTGGGCTGAAATGCAGCTCAACAAAGAAATATTTTGAAATTATCGTTTTATGCTCGATAATTATTGTTTCCAACATGAATTATTATAGTGTTTGGAATTTCATGCTATAAGCTACATTTGATTCATTATTAATGTATGAATAGCATAAAATAAGTTTCAGTGGCTACCAAATTATTTTTTATGTGAAGTTTTTGTGTGGCGAGCTTTCATGCATGAAAATTCATCCCATGTAAAATTTTTCAACTGAATGTCGCTTTGCAAAACAATCATCATGAATGCGTTCAGATAGTTAAAATTTTTCAAACGAGCCCCTCCACGTCTAAATTATATTGTCTTGAAGTTCATTTAGCCTACAATAATTTGTATGATAATTTAGATAATTTGGATGATAATTATGATTTCACCCTCGAAATGAGCTCAAATAAATTTCAAACTCAAAATATAATCAAATTGTGTTGAAAGCACTGAAATTAAACAATTTGAATCTCATCTAAAGTTTCATAAAAAAAATCAAAATTTTCTTCTTCTAGGTGAGGCCCACACTTCGACCCGAATTTACATGAGATGGGGGCCACTTTGACCAAAACAATCGCCACCATTGTGTTCTCCTTATTTTTCTCTATCAAATGAACTAAGAAACTATACATACCAAGCTCTCAGTTCTCCTCCGAAAACACTCCCAAAACAACACATAATGAGGGCCGCGCCTTTGCACCGTAAAAGTGGCGCCTAGGCACCACTTCTGTTCTCCTACAATCTACACAACAAGGTGCTAGTCATTGGGCCTTAGGGTTGTGCCTCACTTTCACATACCATTCATCGCGTTGCTGCGTCGCTCAGTGATCCGTGGAGCTCTAACAGTCGATGGAAGCACAACTGTTGATCTTTGCTAATCGGCGGTCCTCAGAATTGATCCGTAGGAGGCAACCGCTCCTGTCAGCAGCTATGCCGCTCCCAGATGCCTGTAAATAGGCCCCCTACTCCTCCCCTTATTCTTGCGACTCTTCCTCTCCTCCTTCTCCCTCCTCCTCTCTTGTGGTGCTCCGATCAATCTCTTTTCCTTGCAATGCCCTTGATGGCGTGCTTGTCGGTTTGGTAAGTCTCTTTCCTCCTTTTAACTTCATTTCTTTATCTTATTTTATCTATTCTATTTAACAAACAACAACAAGCTTTTATCTCACTAAGTGAGGTCGGCTACATGAATCTTTTTTCTCCATTGCAACCTTTTAATCGTCATATTTTCATGTAATTCTAATAGATTAAGATTATTTTTTATACAATTAGTCCAAGTCTTTTTAGGTCTACCTCTATCTTAACATAAGTCAAATCTAAAACATCTACTCTCCTAACTGGACCATCAAATGGTCGACATTTAATGTGATCGAACCATCTATGATGATTCTGTAATCTTGTCCGCCACCGGAACTATACCATCACTATCACAGATATATTCATTTCGCATTTTGTCCAAGTGTCAAGCCACTCATCCACCTAAACATTCTCATCTCAGCAACATTTAGTGTTTTATGCTCCTCTTTTAACGACCAACTTTCTACGTCATAGAGTATTGCAGGTCTCACCACCATCAAATAAAATTTTTCTTTAAGTCTAAGCAGTACTTTTCTATCACACAATAGGCCAGATGCAATCCTCCACTTCACCCAACCAACTTAAATTCTACCAATGACATCCTCATCTATATCACCATCACTTAGAATAATAAACTCGAGATATATAAAATGTTCACACAATAAGTTTTAGATCTACACAAGAAGAATATTGTCAGTGAAAAACATGCACCCAAGGTACATCTGGTTGTAAATATCCAGTGAGAGCATCCATAACTAAAGCAAAAGGATATGAGCTTAAGCCGATCCTTGATGTAATTCAACTGAAATAGGAAAATACATGGACAATCCCCCTTCTGTTCGAACACAAGTAATGACTTACATATAAGTCATATCAAAGTTTTTCTTCTCTAGAACTCTCCAAAGGACTTCTCTTGGAACCTTATCATAAGTTTTTTTTAAATCAACAAAAATCATATGTATATCCTTCTTACTCTCTCTGTACTCCATCAAACCTCTCAATAAATGTGTAACTTACATAGTAGACCTGGCCGACATAAATCCAAACTGATTATGAGAAATCGTTATATCAAGTTTTAATTTATTTTCAATTACCCTCTCCCATAATTTTAAAGTATTACACATCAACTTAATTTGTCTATGATTTGCACACTTTTGTGTATCCCTTTATTCTTAAAAATGGGGACCAAAATACTCTTCCTCCACTCTCAGGCATATTTTTAGTTTTTAAAATAATATTAAGAAGTTTAGTAAGTCAAGAAACTCTCAAAGCTCCTAAGTATTTCCACACTTCAATTGGGATATCATCAGATACTACTGATTTTCTACCATTGGTTTTCTTTAAAGTCTGATCAACTTCTTTATTACTAATACCACTTCTTTTATTTTATCTTTTCTTGCACATTATTATTCCACCACCAACTATTTTTTCTTTTAATCCACCAAATATATATTTTGTCACTTGTTTAATAGTGTTTTTTACTTTATCCCACATAGTTACCTTCATGAACATCTCATATCTTGAAATCTTGAAGTTTACTCATAAAAGTAATTTGATATGCGTTTTCAGATGCCTCATCTAATTCTATAATAATATTTCATTGTATTTTTTATCTTAGAACTCTTCATCTTAAAATTCGGTATTAATAACGGATGTTAAGTACTTCAATTTTCACTTATAAATGACCTTACAAACTTTACATTTTCGACGATCTCTTTTTATCATAAGAAAATAATCAATTTGTATTTTATTAGATACATTCTTATGAGTAATAAAATATTCATATCTTTTTCTATATAAAATATTAACATTAATAAAAATCATACGCTAAAACAAAATCTAATATGATTCTACATTTTTCATTAATCACTCCAAAATCGTAGCCACCATGAATATCTCTAAAATTTTTTACCATTCTACAAACATGTCTATTTAAATCTCCTTTCATAAAATTTTTTTCTTCAAGATGTATCATTTGTATTAATTCTTTTAGGTCATTCTAAAATTTTTCTTTTGAACTTATATTTAAACCTACAAGAGGAGAGCATAAACACTTACAAGATTAAAAATCATAGTACCAAAAACAATCTTTAGAGCTATAATTTTATCTATAATACTACTAAGGTTTACAACATTATCTTTCAAATTATTATCTATAATTACACCTATATCATTTCTAGTGCAACTCCTACTTGAATTCTAAAGTTTAAAACCTAAGCTATCAATCTCCTTAGTTTTTTCTCCAAATCATTCAGTTTTTTAATTATAAAAGATATTTATCTTCTAATAAACCATAACATCTATTAATTTCATTAAAATATCAATAAGAATACATATATTCCAAGATTTTATCCTAATATTAATTTCATGGACTAACTCTTTTTGTCCACATCCGTTCGTAATATGAAAACTCTTATTTGACATTACACCCAGACTTTGGTGTAGCGGTCATTGCATATTTTCACTATATTAATGTTATACAACACTTCGCTTCTAAGAAAAACCTTAATATTTACACAAGAAATTAAAAGGTTCATGTCATGATTTTTTGACAAAAAATTTATGTTGGTTGTCAGCTACATAACATAACCCTCCACTTTTCGCATCCAAGAATTGAAACCTGACAAATATAGTGTTATATTTATTTTATTTAAGTTAATTAATTAGATGAATTAATTAGGTTAGGATCGGGTTTGGCAACTCGAACCAGACCCGAACCCAACCTAACCTGAACCAAACCCTAACACAACCCGACCTGACCCGAACCCAACCTGGCCAGACCAAACACGATCCTAACCCGACCCGACCCTAACCCAACTTGACCCAAACTTAACCGAACCAAATCTAGCCCAAACTAGCAAAACCTAACCTAGTAGAACCCAACCCAACCAAACTCAAACTAGCCCGACCCAACTTAACACATCCTGGCCCGACCTGGTCCAACCTAGCCCGACTCAACTCAACCTGGCCCAACATAGCCTGACTCAATCTAACCCAACCTAGCCCAATCTAGCCAAGCCTAGCTAACCTAACCTAGCCCAACCTAGCCTGAACCAACCTAACCCAACCTAGCCCAACTTAGTCTGACCTAACCTCCGCAGACCAACCTAGCCCAACCTAATCCAAACCCAACCCAAACCCAACCCAACCCAATCTAGCCCAACCTAGCCCAATCTAACCTAATCTAACCCAACCAAACCTAGCCTAGCCTTAGCTAACCATAGCTGACACTAGCTAACCTTAGCTGACCCTAGCTGAACTTAGCTACATCCAACCCAACCCTAGCCCAAGTCTTGAGCCTAACTTAATTAAATTCATGTTTCATCCAAATCATATTTCATGTATAATCAAATTCATGTTTCATGTTTTATGTATAGTTCAATCATGTTTCATATTCTTCGTATATCATCTATAGTTCTTCATAAATGTTAAAAAAATGATAAAAGAAAAGGAGGGAAACCTCTCATATAGGTTCTTCTCATGAATATTTTAATAAAATCTATTATTTGCAAAATCTTTAAACCTAGAAGAACTTTGATTTTCACCATGACCGATAACCTATGAATCAAAACAACCTACGAACTAAATACCAAATCCTAAGAAAAAAAATCTAAAATCCACCAACTTAAAAATTGAGAAGCAATCCTAGATAGATCCGACGCAAATCTTAGGTTAGCCAACATAACACATTACCTAAATTAGATCAGTCTAGAAGCCTAGGTTAGTTTACTAGGTACTCGAAGCTAGAATTAAGGACTATGACTTATAAAACGAACAGTTTTACCCCCTAAAACTGTGTAAGTACCCTAGGACGAAATAAAACATGGTTGTTGAATAAGGCATCATTAAATACTTTTAACTAAGAAAACCCTTCATTTGCTATTGCTATGACGCTAAGTGGAGATTTCAAGTTATAAGGTTAGTCCATGGTTGAAAAATACCAATGCACCCGAAATAATGAAAAGTCATGGGCATCTTGATCGGGAAAATTATTCTCAAAATTTAAGCTAGTACACCCGTTTAGGCTCCTTGCAGAGTTGGGCTAGCTAAGATTTTCACATATCTAGAAATCTTTCTAATCGGATGCTACCCTTTAGTTTAGGGATCTCTTTCAACTCAAACTAATCCTAGCTCAAAATTTTCAATCAATCAAACACATTCAACATAACTTGAACTCTTTTGATCCCACCTTAACGTCAATTCAAAGTTCATTAATCATCAAATCTAAGTCTTTTGGGAAAACCGTCCTCTTTGGGATCGTCAAATCCTTCCTCTTGGGCCTTTTCATGACACATCGTCATTGGATTTGTAAGTCTCAACTTTTAAGCTTAATTTTTCTAATTTCAAACTTGGATCATTCTATTGCTTTGAAAGTCCGACCTTGAAATCCAAGTAACATAAGTCAATGTTTTAATTGAGAGTTTTTTTCTAGAGTTCACAACTTTAGAAATGTAATTAACTATGAAAGTTTACCCTTACGGGGATACTAGATCGCATAATAAAATAAACCCTATCTTACATCTGTAAGATAGAGGAGAAGCTTGGTTCACATAGACTTATAAGTCTTAAAGGATTTTTCAACATCTAAATGATTTGATTCATTTCTAAGATAATCTTTCTTCTCATCAAGAAAGTATATTATTCTTTAAATGTCATATCGGATCATTTATACAAAAATTTTTTCAAGCTCTATAGTGAACACACATCATCAACCCACAATAACAATCAAAAAAATTTTCACCAGGAAGAAGCTGAAGATTTCCTTAGACAGTGTTTTTTTAGGGCCCAGGAATAGGGGTGTCTCCCTCTTCCATTTTTATTCTTATTTATATGTGATGTAGCTTATGTACCTACGCAGGGCTCTAAAGAATGAAATATAAAACTAGATTGAAGGTCGTATAGTACGAAGTCTGAGCAGACTCGCTATCAACAAGATTGCTGGTGTGGATTGTTATGTTGTTAATAAATGACGATAAGCATGCCAACAGATTGAAGTTCTTTTTTTGCCTGGAAGAACTACCCGTTGAGCTAAATGATGTAGCCAGATAGTTGTTGACGGGTTTGGTGGGAAGATCCAACTAGTTCATGCGAGCATGGAATAAGAACTCAGTCAATGTGAAAAACTTGATAGAAGGAGCTTGCTTGAAGGCTTAAGCTTAGCGACTCTTCATAGGAACTCACAGGAATGCTGAATTGCTTTGGAGGTACTCGCGAGATCCTTCTGAGAGGCAAGGACTTTTGTAGCTTATCACTTCCAAAGGTACGGTTAATGACTAAGATTGGCATGGTCAGCACCCAACCATTAAATTCATAGCTGACGGGCTCAAACCATTAAGCCCATAAGACCCATTTAGTATTTGGGATTTCATATTACTTGTAAACGCCCCTCTTTTCTTAAGTTATCTCATCAATTTCAGTGCTATAACTATGTGCTAAATCATCAATTTGACACTCACATTCAATAAATCTAATCGATGTTTCAATTTTGATTCACATGGCAAAATGTAAATGCTATGTCGTGCGAAAGTTATCAGGACACAATGCACAAAATTCATTACGTTTTTAGCTTAAATGCACTAAAGGTTAGATTGGAAGGCACTGAAACTACAGTGTGATGAATCTGAGGGAGTTGGAATAGAGAACGAACTTGACAAATGCTGCATTTTCGATCAGTAACATTAGAGAAAAGTCTGTCAAACATTGTGTGCTTCGCTTTTCTAATACTACATGCAATTTCTTCTTCCATCAATCCAGTGCTAACATGTCCTATCTTATCGCCAAGCTCAAGAAGCTCCTGCAAAATGAAAAATCTGGTGACATCGTCTTGCTCTATAAGTAGAAAACTGAGACAAAAAGAGCAGAGAAACAAAGAGGAAAGTTGAGATAAAATACCTCATATGTCATGTTGTCTACATCAAGTCGCCAATGCCTGTATTGATCAAATGAATCCCCTCGTCCAAAGGAGATTCTATTTTCAAGCAACATAATCTGCTTGAAATTGGTGTGTTAGATAAATTTATATGCAATAAAGGTGATTTTCAAAGCAGGATAATGCTAAATATCGGAAAATTATTGCTTCCTTAGATAATATTCTCCTAATATGGCATATAATCCCTCACACCGGCAAAGTCTAGATTGAGATTTGGCTATTAGGAGGGAATAATCTGAGAGAATATTGTATTTATTTTGTGAGATAGTTGAGATTTTCTAATTTCTTACATGTGACGTAGGTGAAGCTTCTATGTTTATGTATTCTCTCAACTATAGCCGTTGGTGATGTCACAAGAGCTCATGCAAAAGGCACCCTGCAACAGCATAGAGGGATAAATTTGGGAGCAAGTAGTTGTGACCTTTTTCACCTACCTAGTATTGATGATGGTGATGTTTTAGCCTTGAGAAGTTGTAGAAGAATGTCACGACTCAGCCTGGGGCTTAAAATTAACCAAGGTGGGAATACATGGTGAAATGGTCTAATTAAATTCCTATATTTCTAATCCTATAATTAACAGTTTACTATAAAAAATTTAATTGAAAGAGCCACTAAAGAAAATAAGAAAAAATATAATCAACACAAAAGAACTAGTAAAAAATTAACAAAACAAAAACATCACTTTCACCAACGGATGAGTATTCCTCTCAAACTCATCCAAGAAAAGATAGTGTACTTACCACCATGCTATATTGGGAGGAAAAAAACAAGAATAATTTCACTTCTTTTAAAAAGTAGTGTAATGTATCTAATAGGAACTTCGACAGAAACTAGGCAAAATAAAATATTTTTATTTCACTAACACTAAAAAAGACAACCCCAATACATAAACATAAACTACAATTCAAGAGGCAAGTGATCTCTTTCAAACCCTAACACCTATAATTTGAGTAGGCGATCTCTTCCAACCCCTAACCCAAAGATTCATGAGGACAATCACATATATCAATAACCCTAAATATATTAGCCCTATTTATATCCCACAATAATAACTAAGAAATGACTAAATTATTTTTTAGACTTATGCCTAGCACAAGTTTTCAAACTATTTTGGCGGGCTCGATGTGAACTCAATAGAGCACGAGGCAGACGGTATCATAAACGCCAGTCTAACAGTATCTCAGGAATTTATTGCTATATATAGGCTTTTTATTAAAAAACAAGTCATAGGAATCCAAAGTGACATAAAAATTTTAAGAAAAATAATAAAAAAAATTATATAAATATTTGTCTCTTTTACTTTTCATCGCATCATGTCATAACCAAATTTTGATCTTTATTTCTTGAATTTTCTCTTTCCTCCGTCCATGGATGAAGGTCCCTCTCCTCCACTTCCATGCATATTAAAAAGGCAATAAGAAATAATGACAGTATCCTTATCATCACACATGGAAAAAAAAACAATTTTCATAAGAATTACATAGAAAAGTAGTGTTAATCATGCAAAATTTCTATTTAGCCCAAAATAACTTCCCCATGAAATTATAAGGTGAAGTAGGACAAGCTTATGAAAATAATTTTTTTATTTTATTTTAAGCAAGGCTATGTATTATTTTCTTCTTCTCAAAGCTCTTGTATTTTATCTATGTGATACATGACGTTGCCTCCCCTGTTTTATCAATTTAGTAACTTTGATTTATTTCATATCTTATACGAACAATATATCCATATAACCCTCTTAAAGGTACATGTAACTTTCAATCAATATGCAGTCATGAAAGTAGGTAGATCTCACCAGACCACAAAAATTTGTGTCGTTGTGAGCTTCCTTTGCTGCGTTTGCTTTCTTAGTCTTCATATGGATTTTACTTTGTTTGCTATTATTATTATTCCTGACAGCCCTTACTTTGGCTTTGGTTGAGAAAATTTACACCTTTAAGCATGGAGTAAAGTCGATAAGTTCAGAAATTTGGGTTTAAAAAGATGTAGATAAAAGACTATTATACCACAGAAAGCTCCATAAACCATTAAACAAAATAAAGCTGTAGATCATTCATAAAGAGAAGTGGGAGTTAACGGACAAATAAAAATAAGAATTATTCATCTATCACGCATAAAAAGGGCAGCGTCTTTTATCCTCAATGAGACCATTATAGCAGATGTAATGAAGGCACTCTCTAAAACCCTCCATAGCCCACAAAGTGTACATAATGAGAAAATTTGTAAATATTATGGTGTCAATAAGAGATCCAGTCAATGAGCATATCAACGAGTTCAACAAAATCATGATAGCTCTCCCCAAAGTTTCAGTATAGCTTCCCTTGATAAAAAATGACCAAAGAAACTCACCAATGTCCATGAGGATAAAGCCAAAACCTTAGTTGATGTTGGTTATTAATATTAAACTCTTATACATTTCATCAAGAGAGAATCCACGTCAAGAGACTCACATGCATACCAAGAAACCCTAGCCAAGCCCAAGTTACTCACGCAACTGCAATCAAGAGATTGCCATGACGTCATCATATCTAGCTTAAAAACCCAAGCAAGTGATCCTCCTGTTATAGCCACATCAAGCATTAAAGCAAGGGATAAAATAACACAGAAAATGTGATCATTTGATTTTACAAACTCTAAGGATGAACATGTGATGAATCATGATTTGTCAATGAATCTCACCCCAAGGGTTAGAGCGTAAGAAATGAGAGAGACGGAGATAAATGAATAGAAAGTGAACAGTAAAATATCTTGTATTCAAGTCATTTCTCATAAAACGATCCCCTATTTATATGGAAGATGGTACAATATTTGATACTACATTTCTGCCCCAGCTTTAGTGGGGTTGTTATAGGATATTCCAGGTAATTAATATGTATGAGTCTATTGCTCGGCTGCTCTATGACTTGGTCAACTGTGCTAGCATGACTTAGGCTTAGCAAAGCCGATTCATTTGGCTGGGCTAAGTCGATGCAATCGATCGAAATAACTAATTTGGTCCGCTAGACATTGTCGGTCGGTTTATGTAGCCTGACTATCAACCATTGATCCCTAGATGAGGAGCTCATGTATGCAAAATGAGACTACTATCAAAAGAGTGTGAATCACCGTAACTCAATAGATAGATCATTCTTTAACAAGGGAGCCCTTTGGGATGACTGTGAAACTTCATTGCATTATCAGATCTTAGTCCCAGATGAGGAACCTTAAGGACGTCCGTGAGACGGCTGATGATGATGAACAACTGGATTCTTTTCTTGGGTCGGATATGTCGGGAGGAAGGTTGATGCCTTCGCTCTGCTTTTTAGATAGAGCGCTTATATGTCTTGCTCTAGTCCGATGGGCTCGAACTCAGAATGTTCTTTTTATCCTTCTCTTGGTATGGTTAGCCTTCGTCCCTGGCTCGGATAAGTGGGGTCACTTGGTCTCCTATCAGCGAGCCTCCTTTGTTGTACTTCCTTCCTTCTGGATCGTTGGACCTACTTGGGATTAGTGTTAGCACATTCTTGATGCACAATTGTATACATACTTGGTGGAATAAAGGCTTCTTGTTGTTGTACGGATGTACATGTATACGACGACTTTTCTAGATCTTTACAAAATAAGAAGATTGAATGAAAAAAATTGAAACCATTCCTAATGCAACGTAGATGCCACAAGAGCTGTGATTCCTAGGATTTTCTAATTAACATGCTAAATGAGGTGTTCAATTTAAGTCATTCTACTTCCCATGCGATCCTCATCCAGATCCAAATAAAATATATTCAAGGTGTATAAATCCCATGCAATGCTATTTGCATGATAGCATAATATGCAATACCCATCCTACCAAATATAATAGCATTAAGAAAAACATAATAATAAAGCTAAAGTTCTCTAGCTGCTACATTTATTTAGGAAGCAAGTTATTATTCTTAAAACTTAAGTTAACAAAAATAAGAAGAGACTTTCAGTCTTGAGGGCTATGAAGCCACCTTCAGTTTGGCTTTTCCTTTAACAACAACTGAATAATTATATAATTTATGGGATGATGAGCTAGAATATTACTTTTTACTTATAATAATATTATAATACAAGATAATAATTTGAAAGCTGATAAAAATGAAACTCACCATAACCCAAACAAACACATGAGTTTAATTTCCATGAATTGAGTTCCTACAAAACAAGCATAATATCATAGCAACTCAGTCCAATGTAACTCGCAAAATTACCTAAAATCAAAACACTCATCAGTGAAACAAACTGAAATATGGTAATTCCATGGACTAGATTGTGATTACAGTAACAAAACTATCACCATATATGCAATAACAGGATAAAAAGAATCTGCAAGATTTAATAGGTATGAACATAAATCAAACCCGGCAACTTCTAACACTCTTTAAGGATGAATCAAATACTCGATTCAATTCAGGGAAAAGTGCTTTCAAGTAGATGCACAAGGAGAGAGCAAGGTCATAAAGAGGTAAAAGGCAGTTTATCAAGAGAAATGAATGGCAGTTTGCCGACAAAGTGCTGTAGATATATCTCTCATTTCGTGATATCTATCTTCCATCTATCTCTTTTCTTTCTACAGCAACAGTCACTACTATCGGGGATCACTTGTATGATTGTAATCTATTCCCTATCTATGTGGAAGATGAAGAACCACAGCTTCATGAGAATTATTAAGATTTCTTATAATATTCGAAATTTCTCAGGCAATCTGGAAACCTTGCATTTCCGATATGAGTTAAACTTAAATCATGTATAAAATGACCAATAGGATTTTAGTTTAAACCTCCAAAGTTTCATATTGAGGTTAAGCGTAGAGTCATGGGGCCTAAATTTACAAATTTTAGAATTTTTACATTAACCTTGCACTTTCAAGTTGATAATATTGGATAAAAGATGATTAATGGATGTATGCAAGTTTTTAATTTATATGAACTTTTAATTTCAGTTGTCAAATATTTGATACCTTTAAAGATTAATAATGTATACAGACCAAAGAACACTAGCTCGATAATATGCTCTCTAGTTTATAGGGTAGAGATCACAAGCCTGAGTCCATCATGTT